GGTTATCAATAATATAAACACTGTTTTATCGAGTCTATATTTTTAGCATCTTATAATGGTAAAGGTATTTTAAAAATTTCAGTATTTTTAAAAGACTCGCGCACAAAATCTGTCTTTCTGTGCATATGTGAAATAACAATGGGGTACTTTGAAGTAGGATGGCTTTTAGTATTTGCATATTGTAGCTAATTAACAACCACTGTAACATCATCCTGAGGGAAAGGTCTACCAGCAACTTATTCATTATCTTCTATTATTGTGTATCATATTAAAATGACAGGCATCTTACAATATACAAGTCATCAAAAATTTCAGCGATCAGAACTAAAAGCAATTTAGCTAAAACTGTTTTCTACCTTCATGATGAGTGAAATTTATCCAAAGGGGACTCAGCTTATATAGTATTTCTTCGATATCTCCCTTGAATTTAATGGCACCAACATTACATGTAAAAGAGCAATAAATTAATTTTACTAAGTACATAAAAGACAAGGCCAGCTGCTCTGAAATGAGCACAAACCCTGCCTCGAACAATGAAAATATAATTATGTTTGTCATAAAATGTAAGGAAGTTGGAGATCTGGGTGCTATTGTTTTAGGAATAAATCACCTTTCCTCCTTCAGAGCTGTGCAATTTCACAAATTATGCTTGAGAGAAACGGTATCACACCTCCATGTAATAAGCATGTCTGAGCATTCAAATTAGCATGTAAATAAATGTACAACTCTCAGGTTGCCTCCTGATTTCCCAAAGTTCATCTTACTAACTTGGGCATGGAGGCCACCTCCAGCGCCTCTCCATTCCTTTTTGTTTCCATCTGTTTCCATTTAGGAGCCATGATTTACAGTCATTTACAAAGAGCGACAGGCATATAAGATTCGTACCTTCAATTCCATCCTCTCGTAATTCCACCCTTCCACCAGTGAGCCCATGTTCCCCACTCTTGAGCAGTGCATTTTCACTAGGATGTCCTCGTGGGTTAACTTACCATGCACCTGTTAGAACTACACACATGTAAGAAAACTTCCCAATGCTACAGATTGAAGGCAGATTTCTCACATAGACAGAAACCATGCATTGTACCAAGGAATTCCATGCCCAACACCCAAAACATTCATGTAAATTGAAGTCAGAGTGCTGCTGTGTACTTACCAGACTCTAGCTGCAGAGCCTTCGATGCTTGGTTTTTCAAGATTTAGGCCCTAATCTAATGCACAGCAGAGCCTGGCAAGCTACCCATGGCGCATTTGATATGCCCAAAACACTAACAATAACAGCTCATTCCCCTGACCCTGAAAGAGCCTCTAATATGGCAGCTGTAGGGAAAGACAAGTAAGGAAAGACTGCTAAAATCTCAGGGCTGGGACAAATGGAGACATTACTGGTGCCCGCTCAAGTAAATCGATGAATGGGATGACAGTGATACAGTGGGCTCTAAGATATGGGTTCTTAAGTAAGACATAGAGGCTTAATTTTTTTCTTTGTTTTGGAGATTTGGGCCACACCCAGTGGTGCTCAGAGGTTACTCCTTACTGCACTCAGGAATCACTCCTGACGTTGCTCAGGGAACCATATGGGATGTCAGGGATCAAACCCAAGTTGACCTTGTTCAAGGCAAGTGCCCTACTCATTGAACTATCTCTCCAGCTCCTTTATTCTATTTTTTCATTTGTTTGTTTTTGAGCTGAATCTTGCAGTGCTCAGAATTTATTCCTGGCTCAGTGCTCAGGGACCACTCCTGGCAGGGCTCATATGACCTTATGCGGTTATGGGGATGGAACTTGGGTCAGCCACGTGTAAGTGGCTGTTCTATCTCTCCAGCCCTGGGATGGGGACTTTAGAGGGCTTATCCCATATGGTCCAGGTCTCTGCCACAGCCCTTCCTATTGTCATTCCCTCATCTATTTCATTTGCCTCTGATTACCCTTGGAGTAAGGGTAGGCACAAGATTTTAGGAGGTTGTTTTTGATTGTTTAATTGGGTGGGGGGACGAGAGGGAGCATGCCTAAGTGCTCAGAGACCAAATCCTGAGTTTGTGCTCAGGGTGCACTCCTGGTGGTATTCAGGGGACCATATTTGGTAGCAGGGTTGGAATAAGAGTTGGATGCAGTTTTTCAAGAACATAATGACTCTTGGGCCAGAGTGATCATACAGCAGCTAGAGCATTTGCCCTACCTGGGTTTGATTGCTGGCACCCTATAAAGTTCCCTGAGCACTGCTAGGAGTATTTCCTGAGTGCAGACCCAGGAGTAACCCCTGAGCATCGCTGGGTGTGAACCTCCACCCCCCAAAAACAAAAAGTAGAAAGTTTCTCTCTTGTTCTCTGTCTCCCTATTATCATCTCAAAATAAAGAATTGCTTGTAAGTAAGAAGTTTCTTGGGGTAGAAAGTTGGGTAAGAGCAGGTGCAGTGTCTGACTTTTCTGGATAGATCAGCCCAGAGTGCTCTCCATCTTATACTCTGCATCCAGTTCCAGATTTGGAAGGCTAGACTGGCCTTTCATCTTGCACATTCCAAAACTACAGATATTTTTTAGGATACTCACTGTTTATATAGATAGCAGGTACCAGCTGCTGGGCAGAGCAGGTTATATCTGGCTTGCCCGTTGCCAGAGCTTCCCTGGTACACATTAGTGGGGGCTTTTTCATGCGTAGTTGACTCTGTAGAAACTGATTGACACCTTTGGGGTCATCTTTCCACTGACTCATAATTTTTCTCACTCTTGAAAAAGGTTTCTGTATACTCCAGTATTCTCTAGTTAAAGCTGAAAATTCAACTCATCATATTTACACAATAAAAAAAAATCCATTCTGCCTTGTTTTTAATTGCAAATTCCACTCCTGGGACTAGTTCTCCTGCTTAGGAGGCAGCCCCGTGCCTTGTCCTAGAGTAGCAAGTGCAGTCAATTATGGTAATGAAATGTCAATAAATATAAAAATTTAATACAGTCTGCTTCGGGTGAGTGGCAGATGAGAACTTGCCTCCCAGACAGATTTGCTGCTGCTGCAAATATTAAATGCACCTAAAAGAGGATCAGGTTGCCTGAGCGCGTGCCAGTAAGGAGAGGATGGAGCGCCAGGTACCAACTGGGCTTTCCCATTACGGTGTAATCGCTGCCGGAAAGCCAGGACTGCGGTTGACAGCTGCCCAACATCTTAACTTGTTATAAATCGAGCTTCAGTGCCCATGCATAATCTAAATCCAGTGTGTTGTGATGTTTTTCTTTTTTCCAAGTGAAGACGATTGTACTCTTTGGAATGGATCCATGATCATAGGAAAACTTAGGAATTGAGAATGAGGAGTTTGTGTGCCTTTGGGGAAAAGTAGCAAGTTGAAGATGAACCTAAATGTGATTCTTCTCATCATTCATAAGCATACCATGTTCACCAGTGATGACTTTAAAAGAGAAGTCTCTGGGCTGGAGTGAGAGTGTAGTGGGTAGAGCACTTGCCTTGCATGCTGCCGACCTGGGTTCAATCCCCTGAACAGCACCAGGAGCGATCCCCGAGTACAGAGCCAAGAGTAAGCCTTAAGCACCACTTCTGTGCTCTTGTGTGTCCTACCAAACAAACAAATAAAAATAGAGTCCCTTGGGGCCTGGGAGATGGCTCAAAGTGCAAGGATGGGAGCATGTGCTTGGCATGCTGGAGGCCTGGGTTCAATCACTAGCCCTGCCTTGTTTTCTGCCTCCATCACCATGGGGAGAGAGCACTGAGCTGGCCATAGCCACCAGCACCACTGGATCCCAAAGTCCACCCCCTCAAAAGCAAACAGAATAATCAAACAATATAGTCTCTTACTGAAAATAAAAATATATCTTATACTTTTTTGTTTTGGAGGGTCATCGAGGGATGTTCAGGGCTTACTCCTGACTGTGCTCAGCAGTCTCTCCTGGTGAGGTTTGGGAGAACATATGGGGTGCCAGGGATAGAATCCAGGTTGGTTGTGTGCTTTCTGTACTATCTCTCCAGCCCCCAAATAGAAATATACCTTTATTTTCATCACATCCTTGTTAATAGGGCATCCACATAGAGCATTCTCCTGGACTTCCCTTTTTATAGATTATAGATAGATTGATAGATAATATATTTTTCTTCAAATGTATTTGTGAGAGTTAAATTTGTTTTGTTTTGTTTTGGGATCGCACCCTGTGATGCTCAGGGGTTACTCCTGGCTCTGCACTCGGAATTCACCCCTAGTGGTCCTCAGGGGTCCATGTGGGATGCAAAGGATCAGACTGAAATCTGCCACATGCCCTACCCACTGTACTATTGCTCATACCCCAGAGTTAAAAATTTAATCCTGTGGAATGATCTAATTTCCTGATTAAAAAAAATTGTCACCTTCATCTGAATATTTCCATCAAGATTTCTACAAACTTTAGATAGTCAAAATTATTTCCCTACACAGGGGATAGTTAACATATAGGAGGGTCCAGTATGGCAACATTAGTTGGAAATGAACACTCTGGACAAGAATTGAGTGTTGAAAGCAGGTAAGGAATATACATGATAAATTTTCAATATCTGTATTGCAAACTATAATGCCCAAAATGAGAGAGAGAGAGAGAGAGAGAGAGAGAGAGAGAGAGAGAGAAGAGGTGCCTGCTATAGAGGCAGCTTGGGGTGCAGAGCAATTGGGGGATGGTGGGGGAGAAACTGGCGATATTGGTGCTGGGAAGCAGACACTTGTGGAGGGATGGGCATTGGAACATTGTATGACTGAAACTCCATCATGAACAGCTTTATAATGCTCTATCTCACCGTGATTCAATTTTTTAAAAAGTAATAAAAATATTTTCCTTTAAATGTATACAGTGTATTCGTTTATCTGAATAATCATGGTGCAGTTTAGGACAGACTGTGCCCCAAACCCTCTCCCCAAGGAAATCTCCATCTCTTTTATTGCTACCCCATTCAACCATGAATCTTCAAGTATCTCAAGTAAGACCTGCATCTCTGATTCTGCACATCATTGAAACGTCAATTCTATCTTGCAGGTGGACTATGCCATCATCGCATCGCAAGCTGGGGCCACCCTCAACAACCTTGTGAGTCACGCACAGGAGTTAGTGGCGAAGCTTCGTTCCCTGCAGTTTGATCAGCGAGAGTTTGTGTGTCTGAAATTCTTGGTGCTCTTTAGTTTAGGTAAGGAATCCTTTTCTCTTACTACACCCAACTGCAAGGTGCTAACTAATGTGGAACTCCTTACTAGTGTCTTGAAGTTAGACATTTTTTAAAAATTTAATTTATTTGCCCATGATAATGTCCTTTTATCCAATCATGAGACCTTGTAGGCTAAGCATGTGGATAAATGGTAACAAGCACACTCACACATAAATGATGTCTTGGGTTTGAGTCCCAGCATCCCTACCCCAAAGAAAAAGGAAAGGAAGAGAAGTCTTCCACCATGAATACATGTTCATGAATGTGTTTCTACGTGATTCATCATCCCTCAGTGACAAGGGTGGGATGTGGAAAAGTATTTGCTTGCAGTCCTGAATTGCCTTCACACTGAACATAATGCGGGGAAGAAGACATTCCAAAAAAGCTGAGGCCAAGGGTTTAAAGGACATGGCTTTGGGAAGACATACGGGACCAAATTTATGTCATCTTCTTCTGTGGGTTGTCTTTATGTGCCTTTTGTTTGCGCCCGCTTTCCTACTGCTTTTATGGTTGTAAAATATGACTGACAATTAAGACCCTCCTTATCAACTTCCTGTGAAGAATAACTAGAAAAATCTTTAAAAGCATGTGCACTGCTATGCAAGTATAAAAGATGATGGTTGTCACAGGGAAAGGATGCTTCCTTCACAAAGCTTGGGAGAAGAAAGATAACTAAGCAAGACAGATTAGCTAAATCAAGGTTCTCAGTGAGTCAGTCGAGAAAAATCACCACTGCTTGGAATAAGAAAAGGATTAGGGAGATGGATTTTTATTGACTTAAAAGGAACAGATTTTTCTGCCTGTCCCATACTTGATTTCTGTATTTTGTTGGCTTAATAAAGCCAACTTCAATAAACTTTTTGCCAAGTCCATTTATTACTTACTCGCAGACAGCTGAGGAAGGCAACTTTCCTTGAATGAAAAAAGGGCAGAAATCAGATTCACCAACATATGTTTTTTCTTTAGACTTGCGTTACAAGATAGTTGTGAATTCATAGCCTAAGAAATAAAACAATAAAACAAACTGCAAAGTAAACCAGATGTGTCTGCTCTCCTAATTTGGTGCTTTCCTTTTAAAATTCCTCTTGACAGGGCTGTACAACTGTTGCTAATAAAAGAATAGTTTGAAATAATAGAACCAGAGTTAATTTTTCACATGTAGTCAACATTGAAAATAAAAAGAACGTTTTCCTAATTTGGAAAATGTGATAAATGGAGCAAGAAGAAATGTTACTGAAAATGTAAAAGGACAACAGAATTTCATAGAAGTAGTGTTCAAAGGTTTAGAGTGCCAGGACTGAATCTTGTGTGGTTTGTGTATTAGCCACAAAAAATAGGAAAGCTTTATTCCTGTATGTCTTTGACCCAAGAATGGCTTTTAGAAAATCAAGAGCAAGAGAGCATTGAGCTGCTTGCTATCATCTCGTGCATAATTCTGGTTTCTAGTAAGATCATAGACTTCTTGGCTAGTAAATTTGATCAGCAATTATCTGAAAAGTGTGGAAATAAAAAATGTGTACGAAATTGTGTAGCATCTTAGTGATAAAAGATTTAAAGAGAGTGATCTCACTTAAGTGGGGCTTTAAATGAGCTGAATAACTACTACATTGGAGGGCATTGGTGTCTGTTCAAAGGCTTGTTTACTTTTCATCACTTTCCTCAATCATTTTTCAGATTTGTTATGCTCTGTGCTCTAGGAAGGGGAGTAGAATTTTCTAAATGCTTTTGCCCTTTGAACTTCATTGATTGCCTTCCTGAATTATGAGCCATATTTGTACGAGAACCTCACCCTCTTCTTCTCTTGACTGTTTCAGGAGTCTCAGCACCAGTGAATAACCTACCTTGAAAATCCCTTAAAAATTATACCTTTGTTATACAAAGACTGACAGAGAGCCTCACTTTCATTTCTTTTTTTAGGCAAGAGTTGATTTTAAGGATAGAAAGACACAAATTAAAAAAAAAATAAACGTTGGGTTACCTTTAACTTATGAAGGGAAACTTTTTCACATATAGAAATGATAAGTAACCCTTGGGAGAGGCAAAATTTATTGGGTCCTTGGGATCCCTTTGGGATCCTTCCTTCACCCACAGCCTGCTTCTCCTTGCCATGGGAATCCTGAGATCATATTGTTTTCCAGATAGATTTGGGGAGAGGAAGCAAGTGTGAGCTCAGGCAAAGGTGGCATTTTCATCTGAAAAGAAGGTGCTGGAATGTGAAGGCATGAGCTCCTGCAATGAGGCCAGGGCCCTGGAAGTGAGTGGGTAAGAATGATTCTAGGAAATGGTCAAGGAAGTGGGAGAGGAAGTCAGTTGTAGTGGAAGACCTTACATCAAGAAAATGGGCAGAAGAATGGTCAGTAAGGGTGGGTCACACGTCTTCATCTTGCAAGAATTAAAACGAGGAACCAGGTTTGTTTGTTTGTTTTTTTTTTAAATAGCACATTGAATTGATTTGCCTTTGGGGCAGAGATATGAAAGGGATGAGGGGAAGAGACTGGGAACTCTGCTCAGAGGAGGATTCTGTTTAAATACAGTGCTGGTTGCCGCCGGTCCAGGTTCCGAAATATGCAAAGCACAAAGCACATACCCTAATACTGTGCCCCATCCTCTGCCACCGTCCCCCTTTCTACTCCCCCCTTACTCATCCAGGAGTGAAAAAGGGATAAGGGTTGCAAACCACGTGAGATCCAGTTGAAAGGGAGGAGTTTTCGATGAATTGCAGGTTTCTAGATGCTTCTGCAGAAAGAGACAAATCTACAGAAGCTGTGGCTAGTGGTTGAATCAAAGAACTTCTGGTAGCTGCCAGATTCTCCTAAAAGTCACTGTCAAGCAGATACTCGATTCCTTGGAAAACTGAAGATGGCATTTAAATGAAAAGTGCACTTGACTGAAATTCCCAGACTGCTGTCTGCTTTTCTTTTTCACCTCAAATTGTCACCTTGACTTGGTTAGGCTGGTTGGAGTGAGCTAGGAAAGAAAGAAGGAAGGATGGGAGGAAGGAGGGATGAAAGGAGGAAGAAAAACACGCCCTTTGAAGTTGGACAGATAGCTTAGGGTTTAAGGTAGTTGCCTTGTAGCAGACCCCAGTTCAATCCCTGGCACTACATATTCTTCCCTGAGCACAGAGCCAGGAGTAATACATGAGCACTACTGGGTATAGCACTCAAATAAAACATAAAACAAAAAAAAATCCTCCTTTCCCAGCATATTTCTCTGTGTGTAGTCTAGAATCCACAGAACCACACTCTTGTAGTTGTGGAGTGTTTTGAGATGCCTATAAATTAAATGACCTTGTTGTCTATGAAATAACACAATCTGAGCCCATTGATAATCAAGAGGAGACAGATATCCTAAAGTGACCAGTTAAAATTAATGGTCCATGCATAGCCAGAATGAAATTTGAATGCTTATTTGTTGGTTTGCATTGCCACCTCCCCTAAAGGAATCGGTGACCAGTGAGAGTAGCTTTGTTGCCTGCTACCAAGGTAGGAACAGATTCCACAGGAGAAGCTACAGGTCGTCATCCTCACAGTCTCACTGTGGCATCTGAGCCAATGATAGGTAGCGTTCCCATGCACTGTCTCCTGGAAACAAATACAGAATTGGCAGCTGGTCCTGATCTTTAAATGCAGCCTCTGAACAGAGCTGTCGCGTGTTCAAGCCCATCAGAAATATCAGTGTGGCTTAAGTGCTCAAAGCAACAAGTACCCAGGAGATGCCAACTAAGATGTTGCTGTCGCCTTGGGATTTTCTTCTTATAGAGACTCAGTGATTGGCTCTAGTTTAATCCCAGCACAAGAAAAGCATCACATTTCTTGTAATGAGTGCCCTGGTAGGTGGCAAATTATTTTCTTCTTTGGCAAGCTTGGATTTTTGAAGGTGCTTCTCAGTTATATTGAAAATCTTTTCCCTGGGGCTGGAGGATTAGCACAGTGGGTAGGGTATTTGTCTTGCATGCAGCTGACCCAGGTTCTATTCCCAGCATCCCCTATGATCCCCTGAGCACGCCCAGGTGCAGTTCCTGAGTGCATGAGCCAGGAGTAACCCCTGTGTAATGCCGGGTGTGACCCAAAAACGGGGCGGGGGGGGGGAGAAAGAAACAAAATCCTTTTCCCTCCTCTCCTCCTCTCTTCTCTCATCTCTCCTCTCCCCTCCCCCTCCTCCTTTCCCCTCCTTTCCCCCTTCTCCCTTTACCTCTCCTCCCCTCCCCCCCCCCCCATTTTGGGCCACATCCTGCTCAGGTCTTACTCCTGGTTCTGGGCTCAGGGATCAATTCTGGTGGTGCTTGAGGCGTGGTACCAGGAAGCAAACCTGGGTCAGGACGCATGCAAGACAAGTGCCTTACCCCTGGATTATCTCTCTGGCCCTGGTTATTTTCTTCTGTGGTATTAAAAAGTAACTTAGGGGCTGGAGTGATAGCACAGCGGGTAGGGCATTTGCCTTGCACGCAGCCAACGTGGTCGACCCGGGTTCAATTCCCAGCATCCCATATGGTCTCCCAAGCACCGCCAGGAGTAATTCCCGAGTGCATGAGCGAGGAGTAACCCCTGAGCATCGCCGGGTGTGACCCAAAAAGCAAAAAAAAAAAAAAAAAAAAAAAAAAAACTTAATATTTACCTTAAGTCTAAGTTTAGGTTAAATTCACTGAAATGCCTACATGGTTCTTATCTGTTCTTCAAGTGCTTTTGGCAGTAGATTTCTGTAGTCCATACCAAGTCCAATTGGTGTTAGAAATTAGAGAGGGGTGAACTTTTATTTTTCTCTGCATTCCAGATTTTTTTCTAACATCGCTTGGTACAGATATGAACTTAGGAAATGCTATTAATAAAAAAAGAAGCAAAATAAACCTACTTAGTTTTAAAATTAAAGCAGAATCTTGACCACAGAGTAGCATTTGAGAAATGAAATAGAAGGCAATTAACCCAGTGCAGTTTATTTCCTGAAACTAGTTTTCCTTAAAACTCTTAACAGATAGGGGCTGC